ACATTTTTAGGCTTATTCATGAAATTGCACCAAAATGACACCAGAATGATTTTGTCGAAAAGACATGAACCTACAAGGACAAAGAGTGCTAGGAGTGGAAGCCACAGCAGTGCAGCTGGGGACTAGAAAGCAGATTTAGAGGTGACAAGGGGCTCAGGTAACTCAAACAAGCTGCCTTAGGAGCTCCCTGTGGGGTAAAACTAAGAAGCGACCTGGTTTACACTGTGGAACTTTTTCAAAAGGTCAAGAATGGGGAGCCCCGGGTACCTCTGGAGCTAAGGGAAAGATGGAGCCGATGAGAAGACTGTTAGGCGCCCAAGGAGCAGTTAGAGCTTCTGATCCTTCCCCCACTCCTCACACAGAAGCCACGCTGCCCCTTCCCCATCCTGCAGAGCCCGAGACGTGTTCTCTGGAGGGGGTAAAGTAGAGGGTCTCTGGGCACCAGGCACAGTGCAGGGTGGGAGCAAAAACCCTAAAATCAGGATGGTAAGTAAAAGGTTGCTGGATGTTGAGACCCTCAGTCATCTTCCTCTCTTTGGCTCTTGGTCTTATATCTCCCCTGCAAGGATGTTCTAGAAAAGGCTCTTTTCTAGAACATCTGAAGAGGCCAGGAGAAGAGGCTTGGGGATACTGGTATTGGAGGGGAGGGGAGATCCTCAGCAGAATGACCCAGCAGAGCCCCTGCAGAGAACTGCCCACAAGCCCTCGAGGTATAGAGAGCTTTCCATCAGTTTCTTAACGTTTCCCTCTCGAATTAGTGGACAAGAGCCACCAAATATTTAAGAGAAGATTCTAATATGTGTATCAAGTTAAAACAATGAAAAAGCATATCAAGTGAAGCATTGTTGAGGGAGGAAAAAATTTCCAGGAAAAAAAAAGCATTAATATCTTCAAAAAGAGAAGAGGTAGCATAGCCATAAAATGAGATTTCTTTTTTTAAATCCAGAGAAAAAAGAGCTCATGGAAATTAAGACTATGATAGAAATGAAAAAAAATAATCAGTACAAGAGTGAGAAGAAAAAATTAAGAAAGTCACATTTAAAGTGAACCAAAAAGACAGATGGAGGTTTGGAGAGAAAAAAATATGAAAATGAGAGGACTAGACCATAATACTCAACATCTTAATAACTAACAGAAGTGCCAAGAAGAAAAAATAGACAATTGGAGAGCATCAAAGAAGTCATTCAAGAGACTGTGTTACTGGCTGTGCCTGAAAGATGAGATTTAGGGATGCCTTTCCCCCCTCTGCTACATTTTTCTTTAATTTTCAAAATTTCTGTAACAAGTATCTTTTAAATGTAGGGGGAAATGTGTGGTTTCAGTATTACCAACATTGCCCTAGAACGTTGAACTCACAGGTGATCTTATTTTCAATAGAATGAATGTGTAAAAGGAACATGTTGAAAGGGACAACTTAGATTTAATCATTTAATCAGAAATTATGTTACTAGGACCAAGTCAGACTCATTTTCCTGCCTGTAGGAAAGTGTTCTCCTAGAAGGCCACCCCAAAACAGGCCACAGGCCTGTCTGTTCGGTGCTTTATTTTTATTTGCATTTGAGGTTTTTTTTTTCAATTTCTAAGCACTCATTCTACATGAATTCCTCTTGGGTCCCTTGGGCTGTCAGGCCCTGACCAGAGAATGAACCATTCTGTTCTCAGCGCTCTGTGCGTGGCCAAACTTTTCCTGCTGCTTTCATACAGTTTCTCAACCCTGCATCTGAATGTCCCTCTTACAAAAAGATTTGAAGCTTAAAAACCTTCTGGACCTGGGCAGGCTTTTTGGTAGCTGCTGACCTTTTGCACCGGGGCTAGTTCGGGCCTGCCTTTCCCTCCGCCTCCAAGTGGGTGAGCTCACAGCCTCCCCAGAGGAAGACCAGAGTGTGAGAGATGGGAATGGTGAGCTTTCCTGTTGATACTAACCACCGTGGCACTTTCTTGGAAAGAATCCAGTGTAGATGTTGAAATCCAAACCGCAGAAGGTATCTGTGTTCCAACTCCCAGATACCTTGTCATTGTAGTTTAATGACTGTTAATAGTTTGTGATAAACACTTTGGATGACAAGTATTATGTTCCTGTTGTTTAACTTTTATTATAAAAAAATTCAGACACATCCAGAGTAGAGTGGAAGTATAACAATCGCCATGTACCCATCAGGCAGCTCCAACATCTGTCCACTCATGGTCTATCTTGTTCTAGCTCTGTTCCCAACTCCCACCCTTTAGTTGTTTTAAAGTGAACCCCAGATGTCATGTTATCTCATGCAAAAACATACAGTTCATATCTCTAAAACACAAGCATTCTTTTAAAAACTAGAACCGCATCATGATCACACCTAAATACATTTTTTCTTGTTACATATTTTCCTCAGTTGTCTCAGGCACTGTTTTTCTATATATGTTTCCAAATCAGGATCCAAATAAAATCCATATGTTGGTTAATACATTTCTTAAGTATTTTCAAAATCCCTCCCCATCTATTTATTTTCCCTTGCAATTTATTTCTTGAAGAAATGGAGTCATTTTCCCTCTTTATATTTGAAAAGAGAGTAGTGAAGTTCCGTATTATTAGGACCATTTTGAAATTGTGATGAAATGTCCCACATTAAAAAAATACAGGGTTTGAGAGGGATTTATTCCATGTCCTGAATTAAAAGTCACCTTGTCATCGAGGCCTCCCTGGCACCCTATGGACAGTTCTGCCGTCTTCCAAACCCTGGGCACCTTCTTTCTATCACCCTTTCCTGCTCTCCTTTCCTTCCCCAACACCTAGCACTTCCCACGTGCTCTTCATTAATATATTTTACTTGCATGTTGCCTGTCTCCCCTCTAGAGTGTAAGCTCCGTGAAGGCAAGGGTTTTGCGGGTTTTGCATCTTCAGCCCCTGGGAAATGAGGAAACACGGAGGCAGCGCAGAAAGGGGGAGAGGGTGGCCGTGGAGCCGGGGTGCACGGGGACCCAGCGTAAGGAGGGAAGTGTCTCCGGGCACTCCACCTTTCTGATCTCTGGTATTCACCGGACTCAAAGATCCCCGTCAAGCTCTGTGAGACTACTCAGGTGGCGAACACCTTTTGCTGTCACTCAGCGATGGGGGAACCTCTCTGTCAGTGCCGACTTGGCCTGCTGGCCCTTTCACCCGATTGCAGGTCGAGGCACCATCGGCCATGGGCTGGTTGACCAGTTTTATCAACAGAGCCTGTGTTGTGGGGGTGGGAGGCCAGGCCTTTCAGACCATCACCAGCAGTGTGCAAAGGTCCTCTGGCCAGGGATGGTAGTCACAAGCAAACCCTCTTGATTCAAAACATGTTTCCCCACCTTTTCTTGTGCTTGGACTGCAGGCAGACCGGGAAGCCACAGGCTGGGCAGGGAAGGCCCAGGTGAGTCAGCACCGTGGTGTTAGCCAGCAGCGTGGCCTCACTGCTGTACCTTAGTGTTCTCGTGTGTAAAATGGGGACAGTACCCTTTCACTTCCACAGGGTGGTTGTTTGTTTTGGTTGTTTTTCCTGCTGTCCAGTGATGGAGGGGTGTCAGCACAAATCCTCCCATCGGCCTGCAGAAGGCAGCGTTCTGGTCACTCCAGGAGAGACGAGGGGACAGTGGCTGAGGAGACAGAGGGCAGGGAAGGCCCGAGCTAACCGGGGGAGGGAGTGTGGCTGAATCTTGGGACCCCTCGCCCACTGTGGAGCAGGGAGAGGAGATGCCCTGGGGCTGTTTCAGCTGCGTGGAGCTGACACATCTCTCACCATCCCTCCCATTCTTGCCACACCGACAGAGAATGTGCTACTGGGACGACTCATCCATGTGCCCGTCCCTGGTCCGGTTATGTGTGTTTTTTCCCCGTAAGGTGTGCGGCTGGCTCCCTATGAAGGGAGCACGGGGAAGTGATCAGCATTCCATGGCCCCCTCCCTGCTGTCTCATTGCCCCTCAGGGGCCCACGTTTGTGTCTCCAAGAATAGCATCCTGTGTTTACTTCCCTGGGATGGAGATTATGCTTTTTATTGCTGCTGGTACCAGACTAGTACATTTAGAATATTTTCTGGGCTCTGTGAAGTCCAGAAAGGACCCCTGATTTTGTTTGTTTTTTATTTGCTTTACCCTCTAGATTTATGCTGTCCAATTCAGCAGCCACTAGCCATAGGTGACTAAGTTTAAATTCAAATTAGATAAAATTAAATAAAAATTTAAATCCAGTTCCTCAGTCACATGAGCCATATTTCAGGAGCTCAGTCAGCATGTGGGGCTGATGGCCACTGGGTGAGATTGTAGAACACGCCCCTTGCAGCGGAACATTCTAGTGAGCAGCACCGAAAACCTTTCTGCTCCAAGGTTGATGGCTGTGGGGAGAGAACTTCTGAGCATGTAGGAGAAAGACTTTTCCATGAACAGTTCAGAGAATGTCCTGCATTGTCACCTGCCAGGCTCCACATTTCTGCACAGCAAAGTTCTCTCAACCGAGGGCCCTCTCTTCAGCACAGCGATGGATGGGCACCAGTCACCCACTTGCCCTTCCCTGGAATCCTGTCACTCTCAGTTGGACTGAGTCACCGCACTAGAAAGCTGTCTCTGGGAATGGTTCTCCTTCTCTCCTTAAAGTGGAAAATCAGCTTGAAAATTATGGATGAAACTGTATTTTGTCCAAGTGTGGTAAAAATGTTGCTATACATTGTTTTCTCCTACTGCAGTTGGTTTGGGGGTAAGTCTTCAACCTCTCTCTCACCTGAGCTCATGTCTTCAAAGGCCTTTTGTACCGGCTCTGCCCCCTTTCTTCCCCAGTTGGAAAATGTTTGCATGAATTAATAAACCAGTTTACAACAATAACAAAAACTCTGCCTGCAGAGTGCATATCACATGTCAGGCCACAGCCAGACTGTCCTGGGAGCGCGTGGCTGGGCCTGGGTGGTGCGATTTGGGGAGGAATGGGGTGAAGAAACAGGTGCCTGGGGCTTGGAGGCCCCTTGTGGACTCTGTGTCACATGCGTCCCCTTTCTGCCTCCCACAGAGCGTGCTGAAGAAGAGGGACCAGGTGCAAGCAGAGTACGAAGCCAAACTGGAAGCCGTGGCTCTGAGAAAGGAAGACCGCCCCAAGGTCAGGGGAGCCCCC